TTCTTGACAGGAAAAATGCAGCGCAGGGTCATATGGGAAGGGCCTTTTTATAAGTTGGGGTGCCCCCATGAACCTTTGATCATATACGACGTATATAGGTCTAGACTTCATCTATAAGTACTATGAGAATATCTCAACCTATCATAGGCCCATTCCTTCCCGTACACGGTCAGATAACTGTCTTCTTGTCCGTCTCTTTCCCAGTGGACACGAGCCATACTCCACGATACTACTGGGACCCGGAAACACATCATGTGGCTATCGCTGGAGGTTGATTGGCAGATAAACTATTCTGAAACTCCGCATACTGTACGAGCCCAGCCTTTGGTTACATAATTGTTTTCAAAAGATAAAATGAAGTATAGAGATGCGTAGCCGTCAGTGGGTTCCTTCACCAAGGACTCCATACTGGGGGTGATATTGTGGCGGTTTGATCCCCACTGGATCGGCCCTCAGCAGACACGATATCTACTGAGTTTGTCCATGATCACAAGACAGGATTAGTGGAGTCTCATTAGTATAAGGATAGAGCACCTCACATGACTACTCGTAATGGTACTACTCCAGTGAATTTCAAAGCGATGCACCTTCGAAGCCGCTGGGCTTAGAATTCTAGTCTCTTATCTGATGACCGAGCAGTTAGCTCAATTGCAGTAACTGGAGAATGGAACTCCCAAGTGCTCTACTAGGAGCCGGTTCTGACAACGAGATTTGTCTGGACTGTAACCTCTGCCAACTTCAAGGATGTGACAACTTATTATCATCTATATGTCGAATGTCCTTCGTATTTTGGCTATTGCCACCCCCGCACAAACATTGAGCTAGAAAGTTAAGCTCAGATGGGTTTTTGCATAGGTCTCCACTTATATTTGAGATTAAGTTGTAGTGATACGAGTTGCATTCTTATAGATCTACAATACTGCCCTTGGTTTGGGCGGGCGGGTAAATTACCCGCTTATCCATGCGTTGAAACTGTATGATAACAGTAAGATATATTGACAACTTTGGTTCAATTAGATAATAAGTGGGTTCTAAGGTTTCAACAACTATTCATTCACCTTGGAAAAGCATGTAGTTTAGTTCGCTCAATGGCGGCCATGTCCCGCCGACGATATGCTTCTCGTCAACTGGTGGGATGAGAGTAGTACCAGCCAACCGTCATTGTAACATATGATTCAAGACAATATTGTTGGTAGAATGCAAAACATATTCTCATGCTCCTCATAGTAGTGATAATCAAAGACGCTATAAAACAAAGCCAGCTTAATCAATCGATAAATCAACCCATGCATGCTTGCACCATCCATATGATAATCGGCCATTGTACAACAAATACAACCAATGCTGGCAGCAATACATCATAGAGTTGCGCTATAAATCCCAGAAACAAACAAAACTAGCTAACAAACAGATCTTTTTAATCCTCCCATTCCTCATCTAACTGATCTATCAGTCGATTTTCGGCATCCACGTCACTGCCTCGACGGCCGAAACTGCCGCGGTGGTTGACGCTGTTACCGCGGGTGTGGCCATGGCCGAGAGTCGGGGAGCGTTTTAGGCGGAGGAGGCGGGCTAGGGAGGAGAAGAGGATGATGATCATGTCCTGTTTTAGAGGGGAAGAGAGAGGAGATGAGGTCAGCCTAGGATTCTGTATAATGAATGTATTCTTGGAGAATAGCAAATGAGACAGTTGTATGTGTTCAGATAGATGTGTGAAGCAAGGAAAGATTTCTAGAATCAATCAATCGAGCTATTGACACGCTTCCAGCTTGCTCTATAGGACGTCTTTGCTAGGCCTGCACGAGCAATGACTGTGTACACCGTGTTCAACACGGGCTAGATGTCCAAACGAGTGACGTCAAAGACAAGCAAAAAGACAAGCGTAAGGAAAGACGAATGGCAAGCACGCCTGATGTAATTGAGCTCCAGACCAGCCAAAGCAGATTCAATCCATCCTCGAAACAGGTAACCTTGCATTGCCAAACTCCTTGTACGAGGCCTGCTCGTGCCGCCGGGACCGTCGGAACGGAATTAACGCCAGTATACTTACTTTGATAAAGTCGAGCATTCCCGCCCAAAGACTGTAGTTCGGGCACTGTCTCCAACCGCGCTGGTGCATGACAGTTCGTTGGTATGCGCAACCACCGACCAGGTACGCTGCCACGGCAATCAAGGCACTATGCTTATCAGTTATTAGTCCTAACTTAGGGTGTTTTCAACTTACATTACGCCGAAAACGCCGGCTGGCGAAAGACCCGGGTTATCCGGTGTGGGCGCGGTCGCGCCACAAGCGGCAGAGCTTCGAACCTCGAAGAAATATGTGCACTGGTCCATGGTACCGACAAATGAGACCGTCGCCTGGGAGGCAGGGGTGTCGCGCTCACAAAGGAACGACATGATGGTGGATTTGGTGCGGGCGGCATTCCCGATGTAGTCGCCGGCACAAGGAGAGCCATTGGTATAGTTCATGACCAGCTTTCGGCCGCGGAAGAAGGGATCTGATGCTTGTTGACTGCACCGCGTCAGTTAGTGATCATGGCAAGTGGTATAGAAGAATAGTGTCACCGTACCCAATGGAGTAAACTTTACCCTCCCTCTCGTAGTAGGCGCTAACATTCCTCCACCTTGCGCGGTCCACTCCCACCACATCCTTGATATCTTCGACCACGGGCGCACAGATATTTAACGTAAAGTTGGCATTGTAATCGTGTCCTCTGGCGTGCCAACTCTCATCTCGGGCGCCTTTGCGAGGTTTGTCCCCGTCTACTGGGGGCGGAGATAAGGAGATGGTGTTGAGATCGTAGAATAGGCCGGTGGTGGGAGAGCGAACGACGCAGGGAGAGAGGGCATCCTTCGGAGTAGAAGAATCGGAGGCAGCCTGAGAGACAAGCGGAGCAGCCAGGAGGAAGAGGAACCTCAGCAACGAGGATGTGGGTGGCTTCATGGTGGGAAGATGATCTCCGGTGGAGGCAGCCGGGACGGTCGGCGATAACGGTTCTAAGCCGAGGAAGGGAACGAGGATGGATCAGCAAGCTGGGGGTAGTGACTGATCGGTAAGCTTGAGAAGATCGAAGGAGAGCAAAGCAAAGGAGAGACCAGAGGTAAAGAAAAGAAGAAGGAGAGAGAGAAAAGAGGGGAAGGACAAGAAGGAGCAGCAGATGAAGCAGGCGTCGTAATGCGCGGAGATGAAACGTCGCATTTCTTGCGGAGATTCCATCGAGAGCTTCTCACCGCCCGCATCGTCGGCTCCGCTTCTGCCAAAAGTCCCGCGGCTTCTTCTCCAGTTTCTCCTTAATCCCCATATCAAGATCCAGTATAGCCCGTCATGGCTCCCAAGAAGGACTCCAAGACCAAGGTCCGGGTTCAGCCCGTTCCAGAGAAACGTGGCTATGAATTTGGAGGACCGTAGGTGTTCAATGCTCTGTTACAATTGGCAATTGGATACTGACCCCACAGTCTCGGTGCGTTTGGGATCGTATTTGGTCTGCCCGTGCTGGTCTACAGCTTCACTTTCCTGTGTAACGATGTCTCCGGCTGCCCAGCTCCTTCGCTACTACACCCGTCTACCGTGACGCTCGACCAATTGAAGGCGGAGGTTGGTTGGCCCAAGGGAGGTTTTGCGGATTTCTATGACACCAGCGTGACACTTTGGGTGCTCGGCTACTATCTGCTTAGCTTGGCCATGTACGTGTTTCTGCCTGGCCAGGAGGTCGAGGGCACCGAATTGGCATGTGGAGGAAGATTGCCCTACAAGTTCAACGGTTGGTTTCTTCAATTGACTCGTATCTGCCTCTCTAACGCCTCGCAGCTTTTCTGTCGGCCGTCCTGATCCTCTCCGGCTGTGCGACGGGCACCTACGTCTATGGCGCGGACTTTGCTGTCTGGACCTTCCTCTGGGACAATTACCTGCAGGTTATCACCGCCAACCTGGTAATTTGCACTGTCATCTCCATCTTCGTCTATGCGAAGAGCTTCACCGTTCCGGCCCCCGGACAGCCCAACCCCGAGCTCCGCCAGCTAGCTCCGGGTGGTCACACTGGCAACGCGTTGTATGATTTCTTCATTGGCAGAGAGCTGAACCCCCGGGTGCGCCTGCCGATTCCATTTGTCAGCGAAGCTTCGCGCACGATCGATATCAAGTCGTGGCTCGAAATGCGTCCCGGCTTGCTGGGGTGGATCATCCTGAACCTGTCGAACATTGCCCGCCAGTACCGCACCTACGGCTACATCACGGACTCGATCGTCATCTCGACTGCTTTCCAGGCGTTCTATGTCCTGGACGGCCTGTACATGGAGCCTGCCCTGCTGACTACTATGGACATCATCATGGACGGCTTCGGGTTCATGCTCTCGTTTGGTGACCTCGTCTGGGTGCCGTTTATCTACAACTTCCAGACTCGCTACCTGGCCGTCTTCCCGTATGAGCTGGGTTTCAATGGCATCTTGCTCGTCTTGGCCGTCACTGCCGTGGGATACTCGATCTTCCGGGGCGCCAACAACCAGAAGAACCGGTTCCGCACAAACCCGAACGACCCCCGCGTCAAGCACCTCAAGTACATTCAAACGGCCAGCGGCTCCAAGCTGATCACGTCCGGCTGGTGGGGAAGCGCCCGCCACATCAACTACCTGGGCGACTGGGTCATGTCGTGGTCGTACTGCCTGCCTACAGGCATTGCCGGCTACGCCATCGTCCACAGCATCAACCCGGCCACCGGGGACCTGCAGAAGCAGGCCGTGCAGACCCCCGAGAGCCGGGGCTGGGGAATGATCTTCACGTACTTCTTCCTGGTGTACTTCGGCACGCTGCTGATCCACCGTGAGCAGCGCGACGAGGAGAAGTGCAAGCGCAAGTACGGAGCCGACTGGGACCGGTATACGTCGTTGGTCCGGAGCCGGATCATTCCTGGCATTTACTGAATTTAATGGGTATAGACCGAACAAAAGTTCTTAATGTATGATACTATTCGTCTGAACGACTCACATATCGGACATGACATGTATTAGCTAGACTGGACATCTTTATTCTTTTTAATGTCATCACGCTTTCTCTTCTTCCCTTTCTGATCCACCAACACTTCCAATCCCCATTCTTCATCCCCATCATTCGGCACCCACGGCACCAGCACCATCTTCGCCTCCAGCATAGCCCGTTCCCGTGCCTTTCCCACAGACGTCTCCAACGCAGCCCTCTTGAACTCCTTATACGACGCTGCCCTAACCACCTGCCTTCCATCTCCGCCCTCAGAACCATCACCATCCAACACCCCCCTCAACGCCCCCCACATCTTCGCCCTCGACAGCGCCGACGCGCCCTTCCCCACCGGCACAGACGCCTTATACCCCTGCTTCATCCCCCCAATGATAGTCTCATACAACCCAGTCCACGAACCACTCAGTTTCGGCAACTGCTTGGCCCCATTCTCCGCTGCATAGCGATCCACCCCACCACCACTACCACTGTTACTCCCCCCAAGCACCGGCGCAGCCGTCCAAACAGCCGAGATATTTCCAGGCTTACACTTCATCCCAGCCTCCTTACTCTTCGGTTTCCCAAAAGCCCACAACTCCTCCACCACCTCCATATCAACAGACAGAACCCGGAACGGATAATACCCATATCCATACCCACACCCTTCCCCCTCTTGAAACCTAGATACCAAAGGCCCCATCCTCCCCTCCACCCCCCACGCCCTCACACACCCCGTCTCACTCACCTCCTCACGGGGCATCACCACTCCCGCCAGATACGCATTCTCCGTAACAGCCACCAGTAGACTCATCCCCCTCGACAAGAGAGACGACACCTGTCGCAGGGCAAGTTTGTCCGAGCAGGACTTGCTTTTCGTGGATGGGGCGTCTGCGCGCGCGGGCTTGCGGCGGACAATGCCTAGCTGGGAGAAGTTGGCCCGGCCGGAGAGGAGGCCTGCTTCTTCTTCTGAGGGGGTGATTCCCCATGGTGTCGGGTCGTCTTGCGCTGCCATGGTGAGTTCCATGCTTGCGTCGCCGCAGGGGGCGGTCGTGCAGTAGAGGTAGATTTTTAGGGAGGGGTGGAGTTCGAAGGGGGTTTCGTTGTTGTTGGTGTCCTTGTTTGGGGATTGTTGGCGGCGGCGGATGAAGGGGGAGGGTTTGGGTGTAGTTGGTGAGGATGATGATGAAGATTGTTGATGTTCATGCTCATGGTCTATCAATGCGCGAATCTCACTCAACAGCCAGTAATTGAATGCGCGGAGGGCCAGGATCTCGGCGTGCCAGTCGTGGAGGACGAGGCCGGTGCTGGATGCGAGTTGTGTGGTAGGGAGGCATTTTGCACCGGAGCTGGATGATTTAGTATTCACATGTAAATAATGTGTTTGTGGTGTAGTTATATAGGGTAAGCAGTGGTAGGTGAACATACGTAACAGCCACACAGGTCAGTTCTTCATCCGCTGTATCACCATTATCTACACCAACATGATATCGTAAGCCACTATACTACCCAAGTATAATATCTCCCCATCAATAAATTCTCAATATGTGTGAAAGAAAGGATATACAAACCCCTCACAACCACAACCCCACACATAGGAATCCACTCCCTCGTCCCATCATCCCTCAGAATAGGTTTACTGCGTGCCGGCAAAGCATCAAAGTGCGCGTGCACAACTCTTGCAATTCTCTCTGCAAGTGCATCATCTCCAGCATCTCCCTGCTTCTGTCGTTGTTCCATTATGCTATATATATATCGTTTAGTTACGCATGCTGTAGTTTGTGCATGTCCCACTTTTATATCAAGTTGGGTGAATATCACGTGACTTATCATAATCAATTATTCTTATCCATCTCATCTCCAACAACCAACTTATCCACCGCATTCCAACTACCTTCAACTCAAACCACACTCCACACTCCACTCCACCAACACCACAACAAACCAAACCAAAACAAAGGAAGGAGGAGAAGACATTCAAAATGGCCGACAAACTCCGCACGATCCAAAACCTGGAGGCGATGCAAGCGCGGTACATCGGTACTGGCCACGCCGACACGACGAAATACGAATGGGTATCGAACATTGTCCGGGATAGCTACGCCTCGTATATTGGTCATCCGCCCATGTTGTCGTATATGGCGTTGGGAATGGGCGAGTCGAAGGAGAAGGTTCGCGCGGCGATGATTGAGAAGATGGTTAGAGGCGCGGGGAATCCGCCGGAGGTTGGTGTTCCTTTTTTATTTCCTATGGATTGGGGATGGGTTGGGCTGATGAGAGATGTTTAGACGCAGGAATAATCTATTACTGCTACTTATGGGATGGTTGGTGGTGGGGTTTGAGGATTGGGTGAGATGAGATGATATGAAGGAGTTGAGTGTTTGATGATGAATATTTGTCGAGAATAAAGGATAGGTGGATGAACGGTGGGATATGCTGTCGCGTTTGTGTCATGCAGGTACTTGCATACTACTGGAGTTCAATGGTGGGTTAAAGGCGTTGGCGTGGAGGTTTCATGCATTACATTACATACTAAGGTTATGGACCAAGATGGGATAAAATCAATCAATTATCATGTACAACGCTACGCTAATATACAATTACATTACATGCTAATTTCTGCCTTGTCATTTCCACCCCCCTGCGCCGCTGCCAACCGCGTATTCTCATTCTGCAATGACCCGATCAAGTCCAGCCATTGCTTGCGCTCTCCGCGCAGTCGATGCACCTCCTTCTTGAGCACTTCCACCTCGCGGCGCAACGCCTCCGTCTCTGCTCGCGAGCGATGCTTCTCCTGCTTGTCTGCGTGCTTCTGCTGCCGCGCCTCGATCTTCGATGCCTCCTTGACCTGGTCTTTCTCGATCTTGCCGAGCTGTTTCAGCAGCTTTGACTCGTCGTGGAACAGCCCCGACGCAACCTTGTGCATCTTTGCCGTTTCGTGGTCCGGATTCTCGGCATGACGGCTCTTGCTTGATGTTTGGCCCTTGTGCACGCTGCTGGCTGGGCTGCTGCTTGGCGGTTCGCTGCTGGCTTGCTCGTTTGCGGCTGCTAGAGCGGTCGTGGATGTCTTGTCGCGCTTGGAACCTTCGACTGGTGAGGTCACGCGGAGGGCTTGGATGTCGGCTCGTACTTTATCCAGCTGTGCTTCGACGTTGCGTTTGCGTTCTGCGAGCTTCGCCAGCTGCTTCTCGTGCGAGGTCAGCTTGCCCTTTTTGTTCATGGCCATTAGCTCCAGCGCGGAAACGTCGGGGCCTGCTTCCAGTGATGACTCGACGCCTGAGTTTGCTGATGGTGCTATCGACGCTTTGTCGTGCGATGCTGCATCCTCTTCGTGCTCTTTAGCCCCCTCGACATCTGGTTCTGTACTGCTGGCAGGGACACTCTGGGCAGAGACCTGGCGTGAGTGCTGCGGTAGGTAGTCCAGTACCGTCTGCGGCGCATACCGCTCCAGACCTGCGTTCACCAGGTATGCGAAGCTGGCAATCAACCCGTGATGTTCGACTTCAGTGTATGACTCGCCATCACTGTCCTCCTCACTGCTGGACGCATCCTCCTCCTCATCATACTGACTATGACTGCCCACCGATCTGTCCGTGGACCTTCTCTTCCTCTCCCCGTCCCGACAAGCCCAATTCAAGAACTTGACAGCATCCGTACAGATACTCTTGGGAGTGCCCTTCTCCACCATCCATCTGGGGATATTACCACCCGGGTCACTCCTCGTCACCATCACCCACTCAACCGGATTTATGGCCCCCTCGGGCTTACCCTCCACAGGTATCTCCCGAATAAACTCCACACTCTCATACATCCCCCGAATATACCCCGGCACCGGAGGCACCTCATCATGCTCGCATGGTCTCGACACCATCATCCACTCCCTCCCCTTCCCTTCCTTCTTCCGTTTCTCCTCCTCACCCTCACTCTCATCCCACGACACAATCAAACTCACAAAATCCCTTGCAGTCGTAGGTTTCGGAAACTGCGCCGAAACATGATACACCTGCACCCTACCAATCACTCCCTCCCCACTATCACCACCACCCATAACCTCTATCCCCTCAACCAACCTCTCCGCCCCAATCCCCCTAACCGCCTGATCCGGCATCTTCCCCTTCCTCACCCGTTCCTGATTCCTCCTCAACGTCTCCCCCATCTCGCCCGACAACTTCTCCCTCCACCGCTCAAATCCCAATCCCTCATGCACGCTCCGCCTCCCAAACCAATGTCCCTTCCCATCTCCCCCCTGCAACTTATATATCGGAATTTGCAACGGGTTATCCCGGGAATTGGTCACTCGTATCGGCTTGCTCCATTGTTTCCGAAGTGCTTGGACCCCGCCTCCTTTCCCATTGTTGTTGCTCTTCCCATTCCCACTCCCGCTCCCGCTACCGCTACTGCTATCCCCATTATTCCCATTATCATGATCCACCAAATCATGCACAGGAACTGCGCTGCTCGCCTTCACCACCTTACTCGCCGGATGTCCGCCATACGCGGCCTGCTGCGCTTGGATATCGTCGTCTGACGGCAAGGGCACGGAATCGACAATCAGGTGCGCTTTTGTGCGGAGGTCGGTGATATAGGCTCGTAGGGCGGCGGGGTCGGTGGATGGGACGTCGGTCCAGGTGGTGGGGGAGAGAGATTCCAGGGATTCTTGGAGCGTAGGGAGGGGCATTTTTCTTTCTTTCTTTCTATCGAGTTAGTTGGGTAGGTATGTATTTAAATCGGGGCTGTTCGGTTCGGTTCAATTGTTGTGTATGTGGTGTGATTTGATGTTGGTGGGTCATGTAGAGTGTATATGGATTATTCTTGGTTCTGAATTTATGGAGGGATGTTATTCACTGGTGGTGAGGTGGTGTGTAAGTAGGAGTTGTTGTTGTACTGGCGGTGGTGGTGTTGATGATTGTAAGACTGAAAGAGGAGACTCCCGGCGCAGGCAGTAGGAGGAGGGTATGTCACAGGAGGACTTAGGCAACCAGGCAGACATATAATAGAATAAAATAAAACACTAGAATACCATTAGAAGCTAATCCGACAAGAGCAGAAGTTCATCGTCAAGAGGAAGATAATGAATGGTACCTCCGGTTCAGGTGGTGTTGCGGAGGTCGGGGTCTGACGTCACCGGTCCGGGGCACAAAAAGACCGTTCTTGCCGATGAATCCAGCAAGGTTCGTCTCTCCCCTGGCAGCCATGAGATCAGTGCTTACTATTCTACATCTTACTCTACATCCTGTCTACTGCGCAGTGCCGATCGTCTTGTGGTCCATTATATCAGACTAAGTACATCGTGCCAAGTAATTCAAAAAGATGGTAGTAATGCTTAGAATAAAGAACGAAGATCCAAAGAAGACTGGGCGCAGCCCTCCAGCATCCGATTCCCGCTCACAGTCTCACCCAGTGAGGATGTGAACGGGCGTATCCAGGTAATTTCAAACCCAGCCTGGATGATAGGAGATGAACCTACCGGACAGCCACATTGATGGGACAGTGAGCCCAAGTTAGTCTCGTAAGGTTCCACTGATGGTCACAGACCATTAGTTGCAAACCCGATCAGGTCCGCCACAGGCGGGTCTTCAGATCAGAGACGCCCCAGGGCTACCTGCGCCACATCATCTGTGCTGCCAAACTCTGCAGCCATCACATCCCAGATGTAGATAGCCACAGCAGTCGCTAGCCACCTCTGCCATCAATGGGTACCTGTACCCAGCAGACGATGTCGTCAGGACGACCACCATGCACAGCACAGCAGCCCTCCTGACTCCGCGACACGAAACGAAGGGCGAACATTCCTCATCCAAATCATATCCCAAGCCGCGAGGCTAACCAGGTCTTCATGACATATAATGCGGGATTGAAAGGGGGCATCCCCCAAAATCAGAACAAACAGCCGACCCGCCGCTCTTGATGCTAAAATCAAACAAAACGCTAGCGCTGTCAAAGGCAAACGAAAAGAACAGGGCACTTGTGGTGGAAACTGGTGTCATCGAATATGAAAAGAGATAAGAAAACCAATGCAAAGACGTGAGGGTGTATCATGTGTTTCGCAAATCATCAAGGGTAACGCCGTCATTGATGCCAATTAGTCTGATGAGGGTATCCGTGGGGATAGGACCCCGGTCGTTCTCGTGACTGTGTATACGCGGGCCCCGGTGGCATGGAGCCGTAGTCATATTGTCGGTACGGATCCTCGGATCTATTCCAAAGACACGCGAAGTCAGGGATACCGTTAACATCAAGTGTCTGGTTCCATGGACCTGTTACATTGTTGTCCCGTATGGCAGTGTAAAATCTTGGTACCGGTTCTCCCATCCAAACCCCGCCAAACCAGCCACTGTGCTGCACGGTTGCACTAGCATGCTCGGCAGCGGGAGCGCCGCGATGGTCGCCGACGTCGCCGCTGTGCTGTAATATTGTGTCGCATTGTATGGTGAAGTGGTATATGGCTGGCTGAACGTTGGGGAGGTAAGCTGCGCTTCTCCCATGCCGTTCATGGTTGTCCACATACCAGCGTTCGGCTCGCCAGTGCTGGTTGTTGCGGGGCTGGATGGGAGGACCTTCCACGACTCCAAAGGCAGTGTTTGTGGCATCGGCTCCTGCCACCAGGTTCCCGGTACGGTCGAGCTGGGAAGGATAGGGGTTGACCGGAGGACGTCAACTACACGTGGCGGCGGGGGAAGTAGAGGCACGAAGAGACTGGTTATCGCCGCCTTCGCGTCATCGCTGCGGCCGCCAAGCAGTTCGCCTGCGCCATCCTCCTCGAGACCTTCCAGCGCGAGCGCCTCTGTGCGATAGACAAACTTGTTGACGGCTTGCACAAATTCCTCCTGCAGCTTCTTCAGCTGACTATCCTTGTCGGACCAGTCCCAGGTGCTGGCAGCCGTGTCGACGGAATAGACGTCCTTGTGGTAGTCGACGAGAGCCTCGATGGTCTCCGGAGTCAATTTAAAGGCGACTTCGTTCTGCGAAACCATGTCGACATGCACGACGTACGCTTCGATGTGGACCATCTGGTAGTTGCACATGGCCTCAACGAGGGGGTTGTCGTCCTTTTTGAGTTCCGCATCGGGGGCCTTGGGAAACATCAGAGAGCACAGCGTCCAGATGGCGTCGGGGGATGACAGCGTCTCCGTAAGGCATCTGGTATGCTGGGTAACATTGTTAAGGGGTCGCTTGACTCGGTTCACTCTTTTGAGGGTGGCAGTCAGCCAGGGCTCGATGCGCGCATTCAACACCACGTTCGGTGAAGAGCGTGGAGCGAATGCGGCTGCCGACGAGGGCAGCAAGACGGTTGGCATAATTAGACTGCGCAGTGACGAGCAAAGATGGTGCTATACTTGACGACAAACGAACGCAAAAATGAAGGGCGGATCAGTAAAGAGAGAGATAAGATAGGGTGGAAAAAGAGCATAGAGGCGACATTCGCCCACAGCGAGTGATTTATCCCGATACAGTCCGAAGCGTGACGGCAAAGTAACTTGAAGTCACGAGGACCGAGGCGTGTAGGGGCAGCGCGGAAAGACTAGAAAGAAGTCGGAAGGAAGGTTGCCTGCCCGGAGGAAGGAGGTTGGTAGTATATATTAAAATCCCCACCGTCAGGAACCGGGAGTGGAGTGGAAA